ATTATTATTACTACTATTATTGTTACCATCATCATTATTATTATCAATGTTCTATAATAGGAAGATATAATAATATAAAAGTTAAATTTCTGAAATGAAACAAATGAACATTTACACCATCACCAGTCATACCAACAAGTAGACCACGTTTTTGTAAAAGTTCAACCACACGATATTTATGTTCGGGTATGACTTGAGAATTACTAAATGGATGAGTTCTTTAAACTTACATCATCATCACCATTATTGTTATTGCTACTAATAATATTGCCATCATCATTATTGTTATGAACATCCTGCAATAAGAAAATCTAATGATATAAAAGTTAAATTTCTGAAACGAAACAAATGAATTACTAAATGATGAGTTCTTTAAACTTACATTATCATCACCATTGTTATTATTACTACTATTATTATTGCCATCATCATTATTGTTATGAACATCCTGCAATAGAAAGAAGATGAATAATGTAAGGGTTAAATCTAAAATGGGTGAATTACTAAATGGAGAAGTCCTTTATACTTATGATATTTACATCATCATTAAGATTATCATTATTATTAACATCCTGTAATAGGAAGTGGATTTAATAATATAAAAGTTAAAATGAACTACTAAATGGAGAAGTACTTTAAACTTACATTGTCACCATCACCATTGCCATTACTACCATTATTAACATTCTGTAGTAGAGTGAAAATATAATAAATATAAAAATTGAATTTCTGAACAAATTACTAAACAGAAAAATTCTTTAAACTTACATCATCATTATTACTGCTATTATCATCATCATTGTTATTATTATTTACATTCTGTAATAGAATGAAGGTATAATAATATATAAAAGTTAAGCTTCTGAAAACAAAAAAAAAACAAAAAAAAAATATTTGTTTGATGATTACTGGAAATATGATCTTTAATAATTCTTCCACATGGTAATTGGCTGAAAGAACAAGCTGTTCATCTATGTTATTCAATGATGATGGATTTACTGTTGATAATCTTTTCATGTTGTTTAAAAAAATGTTCTGTGCAATATAATAATAATATGTGAATTTTAAAGGTAAAAGATTGAAATTCAAATATGATTCACTCACTAAATTATTCCTAAATTAAATGAATTAAAAAGCATTATTATAATGATTAACTAGAGTGACGACGAGTGATGGCGATAACCACCACCACCATCCTTAAAACACTTACCCTGCAATCTCTTCTTGAACATCTCCTTTTGTTCTTTTATTGTCAGTGTTTTTATTATTACGAGGCATGTGTATATATATATTTATGAAAAAAAAATAAAAAGTTTGTTTGATCGACGCGCACACATTGATTATTTATCCTATTACTATTGGTATATAGGACAGACGCAAATTGATTTTTTTTTGGAAAAACAATTTATCTTTGACAGAGTCCAAGGTGACAAACGTGAACGTTGTTGTTTGGTTTGGTTTGGTTTGGGTCTCCTAAAGAAAACGTGTTAATAACTAACTAGAGGT